AGGTGAGAGACAGGATCTCGTTCCATCTCTCCTCTGGAAAGTACGATCGGTAACGCTTCAAGTCCTTCTCGTATTGGGTCAGCTTTGCCGCCGTGCCGTCGAACGAGGGGGCTAGCAGCTTGGGCGCCTTGGCGGGCTGCCAGTCGACTGCCTGCGGACGGGGTGCGGGCTGGTGGACCGCCGGGGTTGAGACTGCTGGGGGTGGGACTGACGATGACGAAGCCAGCTTTTGCGGCTCGACGTCCGTTTCAGTTTTGATCTCGCCGCCTTGACCCTGGTGCGCTTTCGTCAGATCCTTCAGATCTTCATCCTGTTGAAGTGTCTCCTCGTCGTCCTTGGAGTCTCCTTCCAGATCGGAGTTCTCGAGCTCCAAAGCAGCGATCTTCGCCTGAAGAAGCGCGATCTTCTCTTTTCTCGCTGCCGTCTGTTGCCTCGTGTTTGCCGCGGGGCCTGCGCTTGTCTCAGCGCTAGTCGAAGCGCTGGTTGGAATGGTTACAACAGACATCGGGTGACTGTAGTCAGAGTCTGCAATGTGTAAGACCTTGGTAGGGTTAGCCAGGCAATGTTGTTGTAAAGTGTTTTATTTCACTTTGCAGACTGAACTGCAATTCCAAACGCATGCAAACAAACAATACAAAGACATCAACGCCGAGTCTTCTTCGCAAAGAACGACCGAGAGGTAGTTGCAGAGCCTGTGAGTCCTGATAGTATGACTCTACATGCATCTAACACATCATAGGGAGACTTGCTGGGTTGAACCTGAACTTGCCAACCCACACGGATCTGCCTGATGATAGGAGTGCTCGCTGGCCAGAGCGTCGCGGATACGAGTGTAGAATCGACAAAAGTCGCTTTCGCCGCGTATTCATATTGAACAGCACCTTGCTCATCTCGAACAATCAAGTCAAAGACGTTGTCACCGATGCGGTGGTAAAGTTTCTTCGTGTCCCGAACCACTTGAATTGCTTTCACACGGGTCGAATTTCCATTGATGCTTTGAGGCACTGTGATCTTGACAGGACGGCCATCGTACGGGCTTCGTTTGGTATGCTGCACGCCTTGCCAGTATTGCGCTTCGTCCATAATGATGTCTGCAATCTCGGCTGGTAATGCTGGTAGAAGTGAGGACTGATCCTCTAGCGCCGGTTCGCCGGTCAGCAAGCAAAATACGGTCTGAAGGTCGTCAGCGGTAGCAAAGCGTGGAAGTAAGGAGAATGCAAGAGGATTGACCTGGTCGTAAATGCTGCGCAACGAACAAGCAACATAAATGAGCAATCGGAAGGCACACTCCATTGGTTGGAAGCAGCTCGCGTGAGCTTCAATGGCTTCATTTGGCAAGGACCACTTACTAAGGTCCCCGTCCATCATGGTCCCTGCGTGTATTGATTGCTTGAGAGCAAGCATTGCTAATGCAATTCCGCTCCAGACTGTTGAGCAATGTGAGTGAGTGATATGGATGACCCTGGCAAAGTGAAAGTGCACGACATCATACTGTGTAAACCTCGGCTTCTGGTTCACCTTGAACGCTTCGGCAATTGCCTGGGCTCCGGCATCGCCAATCTGATTGTCTCCCAACCTGTTCGTTCCATCCATCAGTTAGTTCTCTGCGCCAAGTGGAACTTTGAGGGATAGCGGCCGTACAAGAGCACAATCAGCGTCGTGTTCACTTTGAGAGCCTCAGCAATCGCCTGCGCTCCAGCATTGCCAATCTCATTCTCATTCAAACTAGTCCTCACGATCAGTAAGCATTGGCCACTGAATCATCCACTCACAAGCATCAGTCAAAGTGCGATGCCTTACAAGAGCACAATTAGCCCTGTGTTGTTGACCTTGAGTGCTTCAGCAATTGCATGCGCTCCAGCATCACCAATCTGATTCTGTTGGAGCCTGTCCATTCTCTCCATTAGTGAGCACTCTGAATTCGTTTGCTGGATCGCACATACACAAGCATCGTTGAAGAGAGATGACTTACAAGAGACAAGTCAGGGTCTTGTTCACTTTGAGTGCTTCAGCAATTGCATGCGCTCCAGCATCACCAATCTGATTCTGCTGGAGCCTGTCCATTCACTCCATTCGTGAGCACTCTGAATTCGTTTGCTGGATCACACCTGCACAAGCATCAGTGGAAAGTGATGTGACTTACACGAGACACGGCAAAGTCGTGTTCACTTTGAGCGCCTCAGCAATGGCCTGCGCTCCAGCATCGCCAATCTGATTCTCACTTAGACTGTACATCTCTCCATCAGTGAGCATTTGAATGTCATCTGCTGAATCAGTCACTTGTATGCTTCAGTCAAAGAAAGATGCTTTACTTGAGCCAAGTCAGGGTCTTGTTCACTTTGAGTGCCTCAGCGATCGCCAGCGCTCCAGCATTGCCAATCTGATTGTTATCCAGGCTGTTCATCCGTGAGCACTCTGAAAACCATCTGCTGACATCACTCATTTACAAACATCAGTGAACGTGAGTTGCCTTACCTGAGCGAAGTTAGCATCTTGTTCACTTTGAGCATCTCAGCAATCGCAGTCGCTCCAGCATCGCCAAGCTTATTATTGTGCAAACTGTTCAGTCATCAGTAAGCATTCTGAGCACCTCTGCTGACTCACATCAAAGTGAGATGACTTACCCGAGGTTAGCGAGCGTCGTGTTGACTTTGAGCGTTTCAGCAATCGCCTGTGCTCCAGCATCGCCAATCTGATTCCCATTCAGACTGTACATCCCCTCCATCAATGAGCACTCTAAATGCCTCCTGTTGAGTGAAAGTGACACCCCTTACTCGATCTTGATCAACGTCTTGTTCACTTTGAGTGCCGCAGAAAGTGCATGGGCACCAGCATCGCCAATCTGATTCTTCCATAGCCTGTCCGTCCATCAGTGAGCACTCTAAATGTCCTCTGCTGACATCACCCACTCACACGCATCAATCGAAGCGAATTGCCTTACCCAAGGTCGGTCACTGTCGTGTTCACTCTGAGTGTCTCAGCAATCGCCCGCGCTCCAGCATCACCAATCTGATTCTCAGTCAGACTTGTCCGTCCCATTCGCCACTGAGCACTCTGAATGCCTCTGCTGAAACCACCCACTCACATGCACTAGTCAATGTGAGACGACTTACTTGATTTTAGTCAGTGTCGTGTTCACTTTGAGTGTCTCAGCAATCGCCCGCGCACCATCTTCGCCAATTTGATTGTCGTGCAGACTGTGCATTCCGTCCTTCCGTGAGCACTCTAAATGCCCTCTGCTGACATCACCCACTTGTCGTCCAATATTTCCGGCTTTTTCTTACCTGAACCATTCACGCGCATTCTTGACTTTGTCGTACAACTCGCGCTGTCTCGCGCTCATATTTTGATACGACAGCATGGCTGACTTTCAATCTATCGGAACAACGCGGTTGTTTCAGTCAGTCTCATTGGTTGGGCTTTCACATATCATCTCTCAAACACAGAGTGCAGAGCCAAACGCACGAAAAGTGCGGCAGCGACGCAAACAAAGAAAAAAAAAAACAAAAACAAAAGCGCCGCCACAACAACAACGAACAATGACTAACATCAAGAAGGCTGAAAAACACAACAACTCAACAAGGGCATAGACGAGGATGACAAGTACGGACGCCGACTTGAAACATGAAGGAGAGGGAAAACAAAAACAAAAAAACAAAACATTGCCCAAAACGAAGCTGCTCGGACCTTGGCGCACACACCGATACGAACTGCTCATTGTGGACAAGAAGCACGACCACTCCCGCTCGTGTCTGACCATCTTGTTCCACCTGGCCCGATGGACACTCTGGACGTTGCGGTGCCGAGCTCGCTTCGATCACACAACCATCCACCCGACTCATGCTGTTGCGCACTTCCGAAGCCTCGTTCTCAATCGCGCGAGGCAAGACACCTACACATGCCGCACAAACAAAGCACTCAAGACTAGCCCAGGCTTCCATAAGCTCTGGGGCAACGCCCTCGCAATCGACCCTCCAAAAGATGATTCTCGTCCTCTGCGACGACCAAAATGTTGTTAGCATCCCAGACACCAAATCTGGGCTGCAAGTGTTTGACTAGAGCTTCATACGCCAATACTAGCGACGAGGCACAGCGAGCTTTTGGTGGTTGGAGGAAACCAAAAAAAAAAAAAAAAACAAAAAAAAAACAACCAGGCAAAAAAAATGGACTTGAACGGAGTCGAACCGCTGACCTCATCGATGCTAACGATGCGCTCTACCAAATGAGCTACAAGCCCCTTTCGATGTGTCCGCGCCTGGGCAAATGACTTGACCAACGAGAATGGAGCTTTCGGATTTGGATTTTGTTGCTCGCCTGATGGATCCCGGACTGGCAAGCACTGCATAGGTTGCGCCGGTACATGTCTGAAGCCAGAGTCAAGTCAGATCCCGGGCCTTTCAATCACAACCAAGTCCAATTGGAAAGGTTAATCCATCGCCACTCAGCTCATTGCCTCCAAAATTGCTTGTATTGACAATGATCAGCGAAAGACACAGCGCAAACACCTGATTCATAAAATTCCAAACCACCCGACCTACACATCAAACACTTTCCATCACAGCAACGAGTCGCCGTCGGAGAACCCATTCGCTGGCTACGCCCACTCTGGAAAAAGACTGCCACACGCCGCTAAGAGCTACGTGGTGCGTGCTGCACTGCGGCTTTGCCGGCAAGTTTCACAAGGGTGGGTTGCGAAATCCAACCGTCCGTGATTGCAGCCTTCATGCATTCGTCGAGATGACCTGCGGCGTTTGGAATGTCCATTGCAAGCTCCGGTAGCTCTTCATACACACGCGCTACACCTTGCTCGATCTGGTCGGGGGTCAGCAACAACGTTCTGGCAAACGCGCCAAGCAGCCGGCTCAAGGCAGCTCGGTCTCGTGCCGCTGGTCGCTCCATCATCATGATGATTGCCTCGTACACAATCTAGTGAGCATCCCAATCCATTAGAAGCAAAGGACAATGTGTCAGTGAAGCGATTCTTGCAAAGAAAATCAACCACAACGAAAAGCACAGTCCCAAAAAAGCAAGAATCAGGAAAAAAAAAAAACAAAAAAAAAAAAAAAAAACACACACAAAAAAAAAAAAAAAAAAAAGCAAAACTCCACCCATAACAAAAACCCCTCCCCCCGCCTCCTCTCCTCTCCTTTACCTCATGATGAAAGTGCGGCACCTCGAGCTCACGAACACAGCGCTCCGCTTCGGCCAGATCGTCGCTGAACAAGTATTCTCGCAACAGCAGGCCAATCTGTTTGGAGAGCTGCTTGACAGTGCGCCTGCCACCGTTGACGCCAAAGACATTGTCCAAGCGAACAAAGCCGTGCTTCATGTTGATAAGCGTCTTAGCAAGATGCAACGCATCGACGGCCAAATCCGGTTCCGGAACCGGAGACATGGACGTTGACGACACACTGTTGTGTCGTTTCGCGGCGTAGTTGGCGGCTGCTGCTTCAAGAGCACTGATTGCTTCGCGCGGACTCGTCGAGAGCAGGGCCGCATGCAGCGACAGAAACGCTCTCTCATCAATGCTGTTGGCGGGAGCTGGGGTGGACGTAGAGCTCTTGCGAGGCGGGGCGCTGCCAGCCCCGATCGGGATGGCGAGCGTCGGGACGGAGGTGGAAAGCGTGCGCTGGGACGAGGTGATGGGCCGGAAGATTGGCGTGTTGGAAGGCGTCGACGGACTGGCGGGGAAGGAGCTGGCCGCGGAACTGGAGTTGGACCCGGAATGACTGCGCGTCACAAACACTGGAGGAAGAATGTCATCCGCAACCGCACGTGCAATGAACTTGGCAAGGGTTTGCACAACATGAGGGGTGTCCAGCACAATGTCTGACAGGCGTGCCAACAGCGATTCGAAGGCGTTCGCAACATCGTCCGATCCCACGATGCGCTGCGCGACCAGTGTGGCTACAAGAATGGCTGCCAGTTCCCTGTCACAGTCCTTGCGGTCCAGAGCCATCTCGATGATATGAGCGACAATCGTGACGCCCGCAGCCGAAAAGTTGGCGTCTTCGAGCGCGTCGACAATGTCGGTTGGATCGCCGTTCAACATGTAGTGCGGCAACGTTTGCTGCAGTAAGCGCTGGCATTCCTCCTTCTCTTGAGCCGCGGCCTGCCACGCGGACGACTGCTTGGGCGGAAGACCCACTCTGGGACGCTGAGACCGGGTGGGCGGCTCGGTCGGGTCGAAGCGATCATCGTCGTCCTCAAACGCCTCGTCCTCCTCTTCCTCGTCTTCGTCCACGTAGTTGGGATCACGCGGATCGTTCGACGTCGCGGGCGCGGCATCAATCTCACACCCTGGCTTGCCCCAGACAGTCTTGCCACCAGCTCCACCTGCCAAGAAAGGAGTACGATCGAATCGAAACCAACAAACGCATCACCAATCAGTGATTCAGGCACACATGTCATAGTCATAGTCATAGTCGGACGTTGTTTATGATGATTGCTTTTTGAGCCACATCACATCTAAGGAAGAGCTCAGCGACGCACTTTGTAGCAGTCACCAAAAAAAGTGCGGTCCATTCCCACAACCGCCAAGCACTCCCAATCACAAAAGCGCCAGCAGGTCTTCGGCCTTAGATGCCAATTGTTCGCTTGAGCGATGCATGCTCCATGTTCATCCACTTTGTTCGGTGCTTGAATGTTCACTGAGTGTGATTGTTTTTTTCCATACTCAACCCCTCTTTCCCGGGGGAAAAAGCAACAATCCACACAATCAGACGACGATTCATTCATTGTACTTCAGTGTTGAGTGACCGTTTGAGTTTCGGTTGCGCGCTCAAACAATTGGAAATCACGTCATCAAAATCAACAAAACGCTGCTTTTGTCTGTTTTTTTTTTTTTTTTTTTTTTCGTCTCGCATTTTTTTCTCACTTTCATTGCGATTGCGCAGAGACCGAATTCAGACAAAATACATACCTTTCTTGATGACGATCTTGCGGGACGAGCCAGAGGACGTGTTGCGCTTGCGACGGCCGCGCATGGAAGCGGCTGCGGCGGCGGCGATGGCGATCGCTTCACGACTCGAACGCCGACCGCCACTGCCACTGCCACCGCCGCCACTGCCGCCACTGGTTGAGCCATCGCTCGACGAGCCGTTGTCGAGGCTGTTTCCACGCACATAGTGCTGGTGGTGGCTGTGGGGCATGTACGCAGCGCTGTTGTGGTGGGGCATTGCGATGGGTGCAGAATGGCTCGCACCGCTGCTTGCTGCGCTCAATCCAATCCCAACGCCGCCAACGCCGCCACCAATGCTGCCAGTGCTGCTGCTGCCACCGCTGAGCGAGTGGTTGCTACCACCGCCGCCGCCGATGCCGCCGCTGCCGACACCACCGCTGTGGTGGTTGACATTGCGGGAATGCGCGAGGAAGGCAGCCTGCGACGCTGTCTGCGGAACCGTTGGCGGGCTCGTGAGATGCTCAGCAGCCGTCGACATGGTTTTTTTTGGCGTTGGGAAGTGTGTTGCGTGAAACGATGGGAGAACCAACAAAGCGACACAAAAGCGACAAAAAAAAAAAAAAAAAAAAAGCGACAAAAACTCGAAAAATGAAAAAAAATTCGCCACCAATTTGTTGACTGAAATTTTGGCTGAAATTGGCTGAAATTGGCTAAGTGTTTGGTCTGAAAGTGTGTCGATAATTTGAACTCTGAGAACTACAAATAAAGAAAGAAAGGAACAAAATAATCATCAGGGAGGGAGCGAGCCAACAATCCAAACCATCTGCCAAGTCAACGAGAAACAACCAAGCGTGTTCAAGCCTCGGATTGTTGCTGTTGTTGAGCTGGGGAAGGCAGCTGGACGGGTGGCGACGGCTGTTGCTGCTGTTGCTGCTGTTGCTGTTGCAAATGAAGGTGGTGCTGGTAGGCGCGGATGGTGCGTCGAGCGAGTGAATCCGGGGGAAGTTCCATGCCAGAAAGCGGGTATGCGCGACCGCTGCTCCCTTGCTTGCGCGGCGATGCGTGGGGGGATGGGGGAATTTCCATCGCACTGAGTGCAGCCAACTCTGGGTCGGCCGCCACCGCAGAAATGGTCGCAATCACGTCGGCGCCATCAGAGCCCATCCGCAGCAGCATGGATTCCGGTCGCGAGCCCTTGCCCGTGTAGCCAACAATCTTTTTGCACGACTCGATCACTTCGCGATGGTGGAGCTGCGTTCCCTTGACGTCCTGGATGACGCAATACATCAGGTACCACAGGCGGAACTTGTACAGACCGACCGTATCGTTCTTTGCAGCCGTGTCCAGCAAGACTGCAGCAGCAGTGTATGTCGTTGTAGCTTGGTCTGGTTCAGGGTGTTCACTCAATTCGAGCTTGCGTGTGACTGCGCGTTGTTCTGGTGGTTGAAGCAAGCTGCGATGATAGGCAAACAGGTCGAGCACAAACGACACCTACAATTAGGGAGAAAGAGAGAGAGACAGAGAGAGAGAGAGAGAGAGAGAGAGAGAGAGAGAGAGAGAGAGAGAGAGAAAGAAAAGAAGGGAAGCCGAAAAAGAAAGAAGACAACAAAAAACCCCCAAAGAAACGAAAAGTGAGTGCCAATTGAAACAGCAACAACAACAATCAACAAAGCTCAACTTCCGACGCACCCGAAGAAGACCAGACATGGCGCAAGTGGCAAGATGCTGACACCCGCGATCGGGTTCAAGGCTGACAAGATGCATCAGCAATCGTGCCTGGGAAGCGCGGGAGCCAAGCAGCTGCGAGGCTGTTTGGATGCCAATTCGATTGCAAGCGGTGTGGCCGCCAAACAGAGTGAGCTCTTCCATGGTTTCTTGAGCCGAATTCAAAGAGCTGGATGCGGGAGTCGGGGTCGAAGGCGACGAGAGCGCCGTACCGCCCACGTCGGATGTGGGATTGTTGGGCGACAACATTTCTTCCGGGTCGTGTGAGCGAGAGCGAAGTGGCAGAGCATGCCCCGGAGGTTGTTCTGCACCACTAGAGACAGCTCCTACACTTGCAGACTCTGCTGCAAAGATGGACCACAGGTTGTGTGCGTGAAAGTAGGCGAGCGGGTATCCCTTTGATGCCGTGTGATCAATCCGTTCCAGCACAATGAGAACTTGTACGGCCTCGACAGGACGGTTGGCAAACTCAAAAAGCTTGAACAATGACCAGAAGAGTGGTAGGGTCCCTTGCAGTAGCTGCTGGCTAGGCAGAAGAACACGACCAGATGGGGCCGGCGTTTCGGTGGAAGCTTGCATTGTTGCTGGCTCTGATGACAGAGCGGTAGCCGAGGCTTGGTCTGGCGCAGCGCGAGCTTCGCCCTCAAACTGCATGTCATCATCAAAAGACGCCTCGGCAGCCTCGGGCGAGCGGCCAGAATGATTTGGACCACGGAGCTGGGCGCTGCTTGCCTCGACCTGCAATGCTTGCTGGACCAGTTGCAAGGCGGAAGCAATAGCCTCGATGATGCGCGTCACAATGCGAGGCATTGGATACAGTACCGGCCAGTACGAGACGCACTCTAGAAGCGCCTGGTTTTCGCCAGTCTCAATGTGATGCTCCAACACTCGAGCATACGTCTCGGGCGACAACAGCGAGCGGTCATTGAATGGAAGGTACTTTTCCAACAAGTGGAGTTGGTTTGTCTGCGCAGAGCATCGGTCCATGTAAGTCAGCCGGTCCATGTAAGTCGACAATCAATTTCGGCTGCAACTTCACTAGAATCGCCTCAATACCTGCTCGAATCTGTCCACAAAGATCCGCCAAAATCGTGGAGGGGCGCTTGGAAGCACATACTCTGCCCACAGCTGAACAGCCTGTCAGGCGGGAGATCGAGAAAGGAGGAAAAAGAGAAAAAACAAAAACGCCCAAGCACAACAAAGAAAATTGAGTCATCGTGATCAGGCCCAACACAACTCGCCAACCATGACACAAAGTAGCTCACCAGCAAATGCTGCGCCTTGTCCCACAAGTGGCAGGCATACTCGTTGGCAACTTCGATGAGTTCGCGCGTTCTGCGACATGCAACAACGGTCAAAATCAAGCACGCACGACATGAAGCTTCATCCTCCTCGAATGCTTACCTCCGATGTCGCTGACACATGTGAATGGCCGCGGGGAAGCGCTGTTGCTCCACGAGCCAGACGATTTGCTCCGAAACATACAGCGAGCGCAGAATGACAACGTCGTTAGAAAGCACCACGTAGAGGCGCGTGATGCCCTGGAACGCAGACAATGTGGCCGTGGCAGACACGGGCAGCGGGGAAGCGAACGAGGATTGCAGTGCTAGAGAAAATGTGGAAGGAAAGTGCATCATTTTGGAAAGATCGCTGGTGTGATCTGACGAAAACCAGCGATTTGTGCCCTGTGTTTTATCAGCGAGACCATGCCCAGTCAGTTGACTCTGGTGAGATTCTGTCACAGCCGCCCGATGGACCTGTTGAGTGACAAGCCATTGCACATGCCCATTCTTACTCGCAACGGCGATGACAAGTACGCCTGCGGCTGGCCCACAGTGTAGTCGGCAAAAATGCCGATGAGGTAACCAGAGAGGTTTGATGGGAGGGAGAACAGGTCCACCAGCGTCATTGTGTCGAGACGAAACAGGGCGATTTGGATGGGTGCCGGAGCGTGCGCCTTTGTGTCGGTCGCATGCTCGTGTAAAGGAGTGCCGTAGTGATAATGTGGAAAGTCTTCAAACAGCATGACTAGGTGTTGGCCGAGCAAAGATCTGCGACAGAGATTCAGAGACAAACAAACAAACAGACAAACAAACAAACAAACAAACAAACAAACAAGAAAAAAGAAAAAAAAAAAGAAGTGAACATCCTGCATGCAGCTTCACATTCACGTCGAAAAACTAGACACACAACAAGTCTCAAACGACAACGGATCAAATCCCTCCCATCCTGATTCTGTTCTTCACTCACAGCTTGGCCACTTCGCGACGAGCTTGAAAGTGCCGCAAGACAGTCAACGGACGATCGCCGAAATTTCGAGCACAAAAGTAGACCACGGCACCCCACTTGACGATCAATTGGTCAGGGGTCACGACACAGTCAATGTTACCGCCGTTCTGGGCATCGGCAGTTTGACCGATGCGACCAACCAACTTGTCTTTGGCGTTGTTGTAAATGTACAGCGAATCCTGCCAACAGAAAAACAGATATGGCGCAAAGTAGCACATGTTGCGGAAATCGCGCGAGAACATTGGGCCGTGGTATTCGTGCTGCTGGGTGCCCTGCTTCTGAGCATCAGCGCCCGTCCACGCTCGATCAGAATGGCTCTCATCTGCAAGGATTCAGTAGATGGTTGGCAGAGGATTCAATGCAATGTTGCAAAAAAAAAAACACAGCAAAACAAACAAACAAACAAAAACAGGTTAGTCCAAACGGTGTTCTGAATCAAACGCACAGCAACAGCACCAAATGTCGCCAAAACCCACCATCGCTCCAAATAACTTCTTCGGAAAACCCAAAAAGACCCTTTTGCCGTCGAACAACCGTGCCAGAGCTGGCTCGAGCGTAGAATAACACGCCAGCGCTGGCGTCCTTCTTGCCGGCAGCCGCCGCCGCAGCAGCAGCAGCTGTCGCGGCAGCAGCGTTACCAGAAGCGTCAGCGGATGTGCCAGACCCTTGGCCTGCCGGGCTACTCGGGTTTCCAGGCGACGCGGACGCATGAGAGTACAATGCCATCGTTCGTGCCAGCGTTGGCGGGACAAAGTCGGGCGAAACGGCCACGCCTGCAACTGGTTCCAGCGCTGCGGTGCTCCCGCTTCCCGACGGCGTGTTTAGATCGTCACAATCGCCCGTGAGCCACGAGTAGCATACAATTCGTCCATCGGCGCCACCCGTGATGATGCATCCATTATGAACAGTGCAGCAAAGCACGTCGTGTCTAGGCAAGCAGAAGCATTACAATGCCAGTGATGAGTGGATGGGTTAGCCCTCTGCTGAGCTATTCCCCCATGCCCATGCATGTAATGGCTTTTGCATGTTGATACCACACGATCAACACTGAACTGAGCGCGATTGAGCCACCGACGCAAACTCACCGATGGACGCCTTGCCGGCCTGTGATGAAGCGACCCTGCGCATCGAAGAGCAAGATGGCGCCCAGGCTCGTTCCGACGACAAGGAAGCCCTCTGCAGCGACGCTCGCGGTGGTGATGGTCTCGTCTGGACCGAGCACCTCGAGCACGGACTGCATCCGGGCAGCCTTGTAGCTCGGCTCGACAGGTCGACTTCCAGCGCCAGTACTGGCAGTCGTAGTCGTACTCGTACTCGTAGTCGTAGTCGTCGTGGTGGTGGTGGGAGTAGCGGTCGCACTGCTCATGCTGGCACCAGCAGCATCGGATGTGGAGGGAGTGCGGGGACCAAACCCAGCAGCAGCACCACTTGGCATACAACAAAGGGATTCAAAAGGACTGACCACATCATCTGATGTGTATTGTTTTAAGGGGGAGAGCGGAGGAGGTATTTTGCATCATTGCGACAATCCCACTTGGATTGCAACGCCAAATGCCTGGAGCAAGCGTTCCTGTCTTCCGAGAGCAGCGCTCGTCATTCTCATTTCAGAATGATTGATCGCACAAGCCAAGCTGATCGCGATGGCGGGATTGATTGGTTTGAGCAGCATCTGAGCGGCGTCTGAGCAGCAATCCAAATCCAGCTGTTTCTTCCTTGTTTCTCTTTCCCCTCCTGCTCTTCATTTTTTTTTTTTTTTTTTTTTTTTGGTTTTCCTTTGACGATCTCTTTGATCTCTCCTTTTTGAGTGCTTTTTTTTTTTTTTTTTTTTTTTTGCTTCTTCTTCTTCTTCCTCCTTGCTATTTCCTTCTTGTTCTTCTTGTTTAGGAGTCGTTGCTCGCTCTCTTCTTTTCCAACCCAAATTCACACAATGGCGGAACAGCTTACTCTTCGCGGCACCCTCAAGGGCCACTCTGGCTGGGTCACCCAGATCGCCACCACCCCCGAGGTCCCCGATCTCCTTGTCTCTGCCTCGCGCGGTACGTCTCAATTCATCATGCTGCTGCGTTGCGGGGCAAAGTTAGAGGAAGAAGGACGAGAGGAACCAAAAAAAAAAAAAAAGAAAAAAAAGAAAAAAAGAAAAAAAAAAAGAGACGTCGCTTCTCGTGTCGTTTTGTGCAGTGGATGGCGAGATGGAACAGCGTCAGTCATCGTGCATGGCTGCGAATGAGCAATAAGAGTGCACTTGCGAGGGGAACGCGGACCAAAGCGCGAGCAAACGCGAGGCAGGAGCCGGCGAGATTTGTTTTCCCGCCAGATGCGGATCGTTTTTGGCGCGCTGCTCTACCTTGTACCCGCCGCCCTTTGCCATCATCGACGCATCTCGCGGCCCTCCTCTGGCGTCAATCCGATTCATCACATTGTTGTGCATCGGATTGGCAACCGGAGGGGGATGCAGAGCACGACCTCTTGCGGGTGTCCGGGCTGTTGAAGTTGTCGAGTTCGAAACCAATCCCAATCTTGCAAACTCACCTCTCTCCTCTCCTTCACCTCCACAGACAAGTCCCTCATCATCTGGAACCTCACCCGCGATGAGACCAACTACGGCGTCCCCAAGCGTCGCCTCCAGGGCCACAACCACTTTGTCTCGGACGTTGTCATCTCGTCTGACGGCCAGTTCGCCCTCTCCGGCTCGTGGGATCACACCCTCCGCCTGTGGGACCTGAACTCTGGCGTCACCACCCGCCGCTTTGTCGGCCACACCTCTGACGTCCTCTCGGTCGCCTTCTCGGCCGACAACCGTCAGATCGTCTCTGGCTCGCGCGACAAGTCCATCCGCCTGTGGAACACCCTCGGCGAGTGCAAGTTTGTCATCCAGGAGGACGGCCACTCCGAGTGGGTCTCGAGCGTCCGCTTCTCGCCCAACACCAGCAACCCCAACATTGTCTCGGTCGGCTGGGACCGCGTCGTCAAGGTCTGGAACCTCAACAACTGCAAGCTCCGCACCAACCACTACGGCCACACTGGCTACGTCAACACCGTCACTGTCTCCCCCGACGGTTCCCTCTGCGCCTCCGGCGGCAAGGACGGCGTTGCCATGCTCTGGGACCTCAACGAGGGCAAGCACCTCTACACCCTCGAGGCTGGCGACGAGATCAACGCCCTCGTCTTCTCGCCCAACCGCTACTGGCTCTGCGCTGCCTCTGGCGCCTCGATCAAGATCTGGGATCTCGAGTCCAAGAACCTTGTCGACGACCTCCGCCCCGAGTTCCTCTCGGTCGGCAAGAAGTCCCAGCTTCCCCAGTGCATCTCCCTCGCCTGGTCTGCTGACGGCCAGACCCTCTTTGCTGGCTACACTGACAACGTCATCCGTGTCTGGCAAGTCACCCGCCACGCTTAAGCGACGTCCCGCGTGCTCTTGAGTAGTTTTATGATTTCCCCCCGACCTGGTTGTTTTTGTTTGAGTGAGATGCTGTTTTCTGCGTTGTTTTGCCTACTTGCGCCGACGGGCTTTTTCCCCCCAAACGTCTGTCAAGCGGCTTGGCGTTTGTGTCTTTTCGGTGTCCTAGGCGACACACACACACTAAAACAAGATCTTCATCTTCACCCCTCTCTCCCGGATTTCCCCTTGTGCATGCTTGTCTGTTACCCCGGCAATTTTTTGAAAACATTGAACACAGTTTTTTTTAATGCCCCTCAACTTTCTTTCCCCTGTCTTTTGTAACTCTTTTCTTTTCGGAGCAGCAGCAGTTGGCGCGTTTTTTTTTTTTTTTTGCGGTTGGAAGAAACGGTTTTTCTTGTTCTTTTTTTTTTTCCACTTTTTTTTTTTCATTTTGGGCGAGAATTCTGGTTCAGTCCATCAATTTTGACTTTTACAATTTTCCGTTGAAGACCTGAGCTCCCCTCCTGCTCGTTTGACACATGTAAGCACATTGAATATGCTGGTATTGCAGCCGTACCCGAAGACCCGAGGGAGCAGGAGGAGAGCAGCGCAGAGATCGAGCGCAAAGGACGAGCAGCCAAACTGAATGGAGCCGTTTGTTCGTTCATTTTTTTTTTTTGACTGCGTTCTTCCCCCTCCCGCTTTCCCCAACACTCTGACCTTGATGGATCCAATCCTGCCACCCAGCCATCACGCCAACCCCTCTCTTCACCCACGACTACGATCCACCGGACGAGAGAGCAAAATCAAAAAAGCCGTTCCTTTCAAACTCAAACTCAAACTCAAACTCAAAATCCGAAAAATGCCAAGGAGGAATGTTGGGCTCCTGTCAGCGCTCTGTCAGTCGAGCGTGACCGTGTCGCATGGCACGCACTTCCACACCATTTACAAGCACTACGTGTGTGCTCGTCTGAGAGGGAGAGTCGGCGTGATCAGGCTGAAGATGAAGTCAAAGCGAATCTACAAGAAACTTGAAACGAGTTCCGAAACGAAGCGAACTCGGTTGTGAAACGAAACCGTTTCAAAAAAAAAAAAAAAACGGTTTTTGCTGTTTCTCATCAGAGCAGAGATCAACGTCGGACTGCAGATCAACAAACCAACTCACCCGCCCGCTCTTCGAAAACCCCAAAAGCCCCGTTCGTATGCACACCAACTCACTGCTTTTGTTCGTTTGTGCTTCTCGACTTGCAGAACGAAAATGAGCTCTGTTATGGAAGTAACCCCGCGTCGGGTGTCTCGCATGTCGATGCTTGAACAAGACTCTGGCCTCAATGCGGCCCTACAGGTTGGTGACTATTCTCTCCAAACGAAACTTGCCAAGTGGCATTCGTCGTGCGTTATTACGTGTTGTACAAGTTCGCTCAACCGAGCATTGCACTTTTGATGTTTGTTTTGGTTTGCTTGGATTTTCCCATCTGTGCACAGGAGCACGAGCGTAAGGCGAAAGAACGTGCTGCAAACCGCGAGCGTCTCGTCGCACTGTACGGCACCCAGTACGCACAGCCCAAGGTCACACTGCCCGCGGAGGAGCCTATCACTCCTCGTCGCTCCCGATTTGGCGGTTCGATCCGATCCTCGAGTCCCGCAGGAAAGTCACCGGCCAAGCCGGCCAGCCCCGTTGCGTCGAGCAAGTCGTACGCGTCACCAGCCAAGGCAACCGACGATTTCGAGACGGAGCAAGACGAGAACAGCTTGACTCCGATTGCCAACCGTCAGCCAGCCTCGATGGTGGACTTTACTAGCCTGCTGCACCAACACATTCCTCTTGATGAGAAGGAGTTTGTGGACGCGCTCAAGCTCGTCTTCGACCAGTCTACTCCCGCTCGTCCTGCCGTGGTTGAAAAAGCTGCTCCTGCGCCAGCACCTGTTGCCGCAGCTCGGCCCGTTTCCCACCGATTCTCTCGTCAAGTCACCAACTCGACGGCAGAGCACGGGTCGACCACGGTGGAGGCTGCCACGCTTGACACGTCCAAGTTTGCGTATCGCGTGGAGGCTGCGCTCAACAGCAGCGAGGTCAATGCTGCCTCGATTCAAGCGCTGCTGAGCGACGTTCAACGGAAGACCAATCGTCTCATGGACTTTGAAACCGGCATCTTGCCTGTGCTGCGCGGCACAGAAAAGGTGAGCGGCGACGTTGAGTCTGCCAAGATTGAGCTGGTCCGTATCCGATCAAACTTGTTCCGTCTGGCCAAGCTACAAAACGATCTGAACCAGCGCTTGTCAAAACCCACCACCTTGCCCACTATTGTCAACCCTGGTTCGCTCGCGCTCGAGAGCATTGTTCTCCACCCCGCCATGCTGACAAGAACCGCCCCTGGCACCCGTGTGTTTTGCGTGCTGAGCTCCCGCACTGAAACTTTCTCAACCGATGCCATCGACCTCCTCGACCGAAGTGCACTGACGATTAACGCAAATGTTGTGTTCAGTCATGTGTCGAGCAACTTTGAAGTCGCAGTGGAGGTCTTTGCCATTGTTCCTTCGGCCCCGGTGAAGGTTAGCACACCTACCAAGCTTAAAAACGCCCTCGGCTTTGGAAACAGGCCATCCCGCTCTGCTACAAGGAGCGAGAACGGTGCTGCAAGCTGGTCGCTCCCCAACATTCACTACCTTGGCGCCACCTCCTTCTGGCATTCTCCCGCGACCATTGCTGGTTCCTCGCAAATGCTTCAGCTAACACTCAAGGACAACGCACCGCAGCTCATCACGACTGACATTGAGGTGCGCGGCCGCATCTACCTGCAGGAGCACGCCGGAGCCAAGACCACGGGTTTCTTGGTTGTGCAAACGGGAGGCGAGCTGTCTGGCCCTCGCTACTACTCCCGCTTGGATGGCACTCAGCTGCGCTGCTGGAGGAATCCTGAGACGTTTGCGCGATCGGACGAGCCGCTCGCCGAGTGGAACTTGGCTACTGCAGACTCTGTGCACAAGTCCACAGGGAACGAGAATCCTGGCCGTCAAAACTCGATGACTGTCCAATTCCAGGGTCAAGACACACCCACTTTCTTTGTGACTGATACGTCGGCTGACTTTACCATCTGGCTGTCGTCCATTAGCCTGAGCATTCGCGAGTACAACGACTGGCACTCGTTCTCGTCCAGTTCGTCGAGTGGCATGGGCTCGCGCACATCATCTGTGTCCCTTTTCTGAAAGCTGCGCCATGACGGAGCTGATAGCTGTTGTTGCTGTTTTTTTTTTTTGTCTTGATATTTCATTATTTTTGCTGTCGCTGTCTTTCGTCGAGTTGCCGGCTGATATCTCTCTCGTGCATGCGTTGATAGTTGTGGTTTGGGTGTGGTGATGCTTTGTGATGCTGTTTCTGAAGAACACCGGGAAAAAAAAAAAAAAGTGGTTTTGTATTTTTTCCATCCACCCACGCGCAGTTTATCGAAACGAGAAGAGCGGAGAGACACAAAGGCACGGCGTCCCATCAAAGTGGAGCATGTTCCTTCCAATTAATTCTTGAGGAAGCGAGCGTGGTGCTCAATGTGGCTGTCAATGAACGTGGCAATAAAGTAGTACCCGTGGTCGTAGCCAGCCTGCTTTCTCAGCAAGACAGCAATGCCGTTTTGCGCACAAGCTGCCACAAACGGCTCCGGTTGAAGCTGCTTCTCATTGTACCACTTGTCATCGGTGCCCTGTCAAGGGTAGCGGCGCGATGAGTGGATGTAAACCGCTAATGTATAAATATAAAAAAGCGACAGATGGGCATTTGCACACATCGTACCTGGTCAATCAGAACCTCCATTCGGGGTCCGTTGTACGATTCGGTCAAAAGCGTAGCATCCCACTCCTACAAGGACCCAACAGCAAGGCATGCAAGCGTGGATGAGCGACGCATGGCCGCAGCACAAGCAACGAAGCAGCAGTAGCAAATAGCAGTGACCCCGACCTTCCAGGTTTCCTTGTCGGCACCCAAATAACCCGAGAAGGCCTTGGTGCCCCACGGGCATTGAGTCGGGTGGCAAATTGGTGCGAATGCGGAGACAGACTGCAAGTTGCAGCAAGGGTGAGTTAAGCGGCAGTCACAAACCCTGCGGAGTGCGCGAAGCCTTACCTTGTACATGCCAGGGTTTTTCAGGGCGCAAATCAGAGCGCCATGACCTCCCATGCTTTAAGTAAGCAAAGCAAATCCACAACAAACAGATCAGTTTTACACAAGTTACGCCGCTACGGTACGCTCAAACGTTACGCGCCCAAAAATCCTCTGGTTTACCTGTGGCCGAAAATGGATTGCCTCTCTGGGTTGACGTTAAAGTTCTCTTCCACGATGGCCTGCAGCTCGGCAGTGATGTAAGTGTACATGTTGTAGTGTTTGCTCCACTTGTCCTCGGTCGCGTCCACATAAAATCCGGCGCCTGAGCGAGCCCACGATTTCACAAGATTTCGTCAGTGCCCACCTCACACGGCTCTACATGCGTGCACGTTGTCACGAACGTCAGAATCATATCAGTTCACCAACCTGCACCAAAGTCCCACGAATCGGTTTCACCGGGAATGTTGCATCCACCTAAACGTGAGCGCACAAAACCAGGACCAAAAATGAAAGAGTCAACATTACAGCACATAACACACACGCAAATGGGGGGGGGGGAGCATCTCTATGAGCGGCGAATGCACCGTCTTTGCGTTTGTTTTACGAGGGGAAGTGTCCGGGCAGACGAGGATGATGTCGTGCTTGGCAGCCGCGCGCTGAGCTCCTGCCTTGGTAATAAAGTTCTGATCATTGCAAGTCAATCCTAGCACAGTACAGCAAGAGTGAAGAGTGATTTGGAACAAAATCCGGTCAGTGACAGATTGTGAGCAGCGACGAGCGCCTCAACCAGCTCTGCGCAATAGAGAAGGATTCATTGTCTGAGCGAGACCTTGTCCACTTCCACATATATATGAGCTTTTCTGAGCTTTTCTGAGCTTTCTAACACTGTCTGAGCCTTTTGAGCCTTTTGAGCGTTCGGTCTTTACCAGAGAGCCAGTAGAGCGCAGGGACGTCCTGCGGGTTGCGTTCCTTGTTTGCGACGTCAATGACGCGTGCAGCTGCAGGGAGGAAGACGACGAAGGTCATGTCGCAGTCGAGCACTGCGCTGCGATGCTTGAACTGCTTGACCACGCCACCAAAGCACTTGGCCGAGGAGACCTCGGTGATGGTCGGCGTCGGCGGCGCGGCTTCAGTGGCAGCGTCGATCTGCATTGCAGTTGCATTGGCGTCAGAAGACGAGGCGGCGGCGTCGGAGGACGACATTGATTGCGAGTAGAAAGTAACCAACAAGAAGGTGGAGTGAGCACGACGAGATCATCATCATAGTCAGATACTCAGATCAAGATATTCATTAAAACGAGGTTCAACTAGTGGGAGAATGATGGGAGTGCGATCTGAGCTGCGCTGAGCTGAGCTGAGCTGAGTGGCAATTCTGTACCGTAATGTGCTGTAATGGAGAACTCTGCCATTGTTTCCCGCTCTTTCCCTCTCCAGTGCAATACTACTTTCATTGTTGGCGCTCTCTTTACTATTTCGTTACGTTACTTTCCTTCTGTCAACACAGTTCCACTCAGTTCCCCTCAGTTCCATTCAGTCGTCTCTTCACAGTATTAGTCTGCAATGGTAACTCACTCACTTTGCCCCCCTTCTCGTTTCCATCCCCACCCCCACACGCCTCACTTCACTCCTCCACCCTTTGCTTTTGTTGAATATTACTTCATTTTGGGGGCTATTGAAACCTCAACCAGTGACCCATCCTTCGTTCTCTCCCCCCCAATGCAAACTCACTGAACGCCCCATGGTTTCCATGTGGCAGCATCAATCCATCCCCACAGTGAACCCCGCCGACGACGACCCGTTTCTGACTTTTCAACACTAACTCATATATCATGTTTCTGCTTCTGCTTCTGCGTGCGAATGGGGGTGACAGCCAAAGCTCAAGCCGGCAAAGGCCGCCGTCAAGGCCGAGAAGGTCATCCACCCAGAGTCGCGCGAGGCCAAGCGCATGGCACGGAGCGTCCTGCGGCTCAACCGCGTCACAATGTCCAAGGACGACCACGCACACAGACAGGTCGATCCGCTGGTGCAGCGCGTCAGCTGGTTCCAGCAGCACGTCAGCACAGAGACGACCCAGGTCCTCGAGGTCGAGATGCACGTCCTCATCCAGGCCTACCTGCGCAGGAACGACCAACAGCTCGATGAAATCAGGCAGGAGCATGCCTCGCGCAAGTCACGCACAAAGGCCGCGCGCGAAGACGCACTCGACGCCCGGATTGCCTCCGAGACTGCAGAGTACAACTCGGGCTTCCAGGCGCCAGACCTCACCGTCCACAAGACGCTCGAGCTCGTCAAGAACTTTTCAGGAAACAAAGCCGTGCTGCCGGCACTGCGGATGCGCAGCTTTAAAAAGTCGTCCGCCGTCGCAGTCCAGGCGGAAGCCATGCTCCAAGACATTATGGCTCACCACGAGCAAGAGCGCCTCGCTGAAGAGCAGCAGCTGGCCGAGCAGCAGCAGCAGCAGCAGCAGCAGCCCCAAGAGCTCCAACAACAACTCCAATATACAGGCAGTGATGCGCCCATGTTTGACGCCTCAGCGGTAAACTTGGGCATTCCGCCATCCGACGAGAGTGCGTGCTGATCGTTAAGAGTTTGTTGTCTTTGTTGTAGGACAGCTTAATAGCGTTTGTGTGTCATCTGTAATTGTTATTGAATAACTTTGGAAATGCGCGAAAATGCATCAGTATTCATCTAAAAATCAAAAGGGGTTGTGTTATTGCTTCTTGGCGTGTTGCTGCTGCGCCATCTCGCTGCGGATCAGAAATAGGGCAAACGCGACAGCTGGCGACAAGACGACGCTCCCAACAAATACGCTTGCTGAGACCAACACTCCGCTTTCAATACCAGCAAATAGGGTCGCCAGCAAAGTCACAAAAACAGCATCCCACGAAATGCCGGCTTGGCAAAAGTGAGCAAAGCCCGCATGCAGGAGGGTCATAGTGTCAAACGCGCCTGGGCCACTCAGCAAGGCGCGCCACAGTACGAGATGGTGGCCCAACGACAGGCACGCGATCGTGGCGAGGAGCAAAATGTACGAGCGGGAGGGTGTCTGCACTGACGACGACGACGACGACCCCTTCGCTGCTGGGAGCACGGCAGGGAGGGCAAGCGCAAGATGCACAAACAAGAGGTGGAACTTGAACCAGCGGGTGCCAGCGTACAGCGGGAAGCAGAAAATCGACCCAACCGAAGCGAGAATCAATGCAGTGAGCGCCACCATGCTCAACCCGCCGAGCGCGCCACCTCCAGTTCCAGTCTGCTGAGCCCGTGTCGTTGGTGGTTCCTTCTTGCCGTTGGCGGGAGCCTTGACGACCGCACGCAGCGCTTGCAATCGGCAGGCAAAGAGGGCGAACGCAACGCTGATCGCCCCGCCAAAGCCAAGCCACACGTATGCCACTGTGTGCCAGACGGGCTGCGCATGGCGACGGCTCTGCACGACGAGCATGACGATGAAGACGGTCGTGAACAGCAACAGCTGCGACGACCAAAACCAGCCCTCGGTCGTGTCTGAGACCGTCACATATGCATTGACCATGAACTCGGACTTGGCCAGCCAGGCATCAACATCGCGGTAGCGTGCGTAATCCACATGCAGGAACGAGAGAATGTTGTACCACGTCAATGCAAGCGCGACAAGTGCGATCGCGAGATAGGCTTGAACGAGGCGTCGGCGCTTACTTTGGGCAATTTCTTAGAACAAACAAAGTGGGGAAAAGTTGCGTTCAGAAATGCAGAAACCAAGATTTAGCACAAAGTTCTGAACAGCATTCGGCGTGAGGTGGCGGTAAGATTGGCGGATGGTTGGACTTTTCGTTACCTTGAACATTTCGGCACAACCACAGACAGACAACGAGGCAAATCACAAGCGATACAAAGTAGAGGAGCACGCGATACGGCTTGGATGCTTCCCAGCCAGACAGCTCAGCGCTGGACATTTTCAGATCGCTGCACAAACAAAAATAAGAAGCTGGACTGGCTTCTCCCAGTTTAGTCAACAGGAATTGTATCATTGGCGAAAGAGAAGGGGCGTTCTTAATTCAAATGGTAAGCCAAAGGATCAAATCGCTGAACAACAACAACAAATCAGCCGAGAAAACAAACGCAACACAACAACAAGAAACAGCAACAAAACACAAACACTCAAACAACACTGAAGGTGACGACGTCCGTTTCAAAAAATTCAAAATAATCGAGTAGTAATGAAGCGCGTAGTTGCGGCTACAAAACAAAGCACGCTCGGTCGGTCGGGCCAACCAAGCAAAGCGAGACGTGTTCAGAAGCGCTTGAAGAAGGGGTGCTTTTTCAAAAAGATTTGCACTCGGCGCTTGAGATTCTTCTCCTCCTTGATGGTGAAGACGGGCATCTGGATGAGATCGAGAGGAGTCCGCTTCTCCTTCAAGGCAGCGACAAGGTTTTGCAGCTGGCCGCGGAAGACAGATATTTGCTTGTTGAAGTTGCTTCGATCGTAGCCACCATCCTGCTTGAACAGCGTGTGCAGCTCTTCAATGAGGTCATCCATGTACGTCTCGTCCATCAGCAGCGGCAAGAAGGCGTCGCGGCTTTCGTCCGAGAAGGGAACTTTGGCGTACGGCAGCCAAGCCCAGTGGTACGGATCTGCAACAACAGCAATCAATCAGATCATATCAATGTCAGCGTTTGCACAGCAGGAAGAAATCGTCGCGAGCACCATCGCCAAAAAACGTACACGCGCGCCACGAGTCGGGATGCTTGATGGGGAAGGCGAGACCGTTGTCGATGGCAGCAATGGTAATGGTCGGCTCCTTCACCACGCCCCACGCTTCAGAGTCGGGGCTATCACTCGCCTCCTCGTCGATTTTCTCGTCATAGCGAATGAGCCAATTGTCGTTTCCACGATCTAAGGTGGAGAGGCAGACGAGCACGAGCGAGACAAAAAGGTGAGCAAGTGGAAATCGCCCGAAATTGCGCTCTCAACCGCGAATCCATGCATCTCACCAGTGTTGCGAATGAGGTAGTCTAGAATAACAAGCCTTTCGAACTGATGCTGAAACTCCAATCGCGTCGAAATCGGCATCGACTCGCGCTCAAAGCGCGTCAAGTAGACAATCGCATCCTTGTAACCGTTGACGAAGAGCTGGAAGGAGCCGACTTTGGGAGGCAAAGGTTTCAACTTGGACGCCTTTCGGCGCCAGCCTGGGTAGTAAAAGGAGGGGCTAGCCAGCATGACAACCTGGGCAAAAGAACAGCAAATTTCGAGTCAGCCATGGATCCAACTGGTCTTGTCAATCTCACGCAAGTTGTCATACCCGAGTGGGAGGGACGACATTGAGACCCAGCTTGCGATCAATCAAGCTTGCACCGGCTTCCGACATGTATCCCTGCGCAACAGAAAGAGAGAGAGAGAAAAAAAATTAAGGTTGAGTTGCCAGTCCCGACAAAAAGCAAAAGTAAAACAAACCATAACAACCAGCACCAACCTGGTTCGGAATCAAGCAGCTTCGGCCAAAGCAACAGGGAAGGAAGACCTTGTGAAACCACTTGGTCCACTTGGGGTTGAGTTTGCCGTACGGCTCCTCGTTCTTTGGCTTGAAGACACCAATGATTTTGCCTTGTCGATTGCGCACAAAGTAGCTGCCACTGCTGCCTTGAGCAATCCGCTGGGGATGAATGCCGGCATGGAAGGCATCCTCCACCTGTTTAAGGTCGAAGCAGACGATTGTGCCCAATTTTTTTGAGTACGAGAACAACCACAACTTTGCTCAATGGAAGTACACAGCATCGATCGCCCCTTACCTCGCTGAGAAGCGCACGGAACTCGGGGTCGTCATACGGCTGGGAAAGGACGTTGCCTTCGTCATCCTGCGATTCCCGGCGTTGGACAGATTTGTGATGGTGGTGGTGGTGGTGGTGGTGGTGGTGGGAATGCGAGTGATGGGGAGTTGGACGGGAAATCAAAGCCAAGTGAGTCTGAGGGTTTGAGCTTAAGTGGAGAGGGGAGTGGGCGGACGAGAGTGGCGGGGATGGCGAGTAATTGGAGCGCGGGAGAGACATGGTCGACAGCGTAGATTCAAGCGGCGATGGCCGTTTGCCACGCATCCGAGCAGTGAAGGATGGAGGCGACCTGCTCGGACTTGGTGGCGGAGACGGCAGCGAAGCAATGGCGCGTCTATACGAGCTGAGCGACTCGGACGGAAGCAAGGACTCGAAGGCAGTGGTGGTGGTGGTCGTAGGCATGTCGGATGAGTCTCCGCTTGCACTGGCGTCTGCATCTTGATCGTCGTCTTCATCCTCATCCTCATCATCAACATCATTGTCTGATGGACGAGTCCGAGCCGTGGCAATTGTCGCAGTGCCAATCCGAACGCGTTTATCTTTGTGCGACCACCGCTTGTCAGCGCGCAAATCGTCGTCGTAGTCGTCTGCGCCAACGCCTGCGCCTTCAATCCTCCTCGTGCCTGTAGGTCTGTCAGCTGACGTGGCGGCCGTGGCTGTGGCTGTGGCTGCGGCAGCGACTGCGGTGGTTCGCGGATGAAAGCGCACTGCGTACGGTTCGAGGCGTTTGGACATGCCCGACGCCGACCGCACCGCCCGCCGCGTTGCAAATGCGACGTACGACATGCCACCCGCGGGATCGATGCCATCAAAGTAGTAGTGTGGCGTGGAAGTGGTGGCGATTGTTGGTTGAACGGAGCTGTCAAACTCATCCGAGCCCGTTGTTGTCTCAGTTCCTTCCCCTTCTTCCTCTTCGTCCTCGGCTTTGCTGTGACGGGCGACGGAGCTGCTCGACTGCTTCATGCTCCCGAGCGCCAATCCACCAACACCGCCCAGCTCAACTGCTTCCGGCATATTTGTGAAAACAAGAAGAAAAGGAATAAAAAAATCTCAGAAAAAGCAGGAATGAACGCCAAAAGCTAAGGGGGAAATACCCCCACTTCTGCGACGACGATCCGAGACACGACAGCACGACAGATCAATGACAGATCAATGACCACTGTGTATGTGCACTTGAAACGAAAACAAAGCGAAACAAAGCGAAACAAAGCGAAACAAAAGCCTTGCGTTCGCAGTACATCCCAATGCCATGTTTCCAACGGCCTTCAACCCTTCACTTTTGCACAATGGTGCTTCATATGTCACTGGCAAACTTTTTGGTAATGGGTGTGGGGTGTTGGGTTGTGTGTGCGTTTGTTTCTTCTTACCATGGTCGGACTGAGCAGCGGAGTGCTTTCGCCCTGCTGATGATGCCCAGCAGCGGTCGTTCCGTTCGAGTGCAGACCGCCGGCGCCGACGCTGATGATGCTCGTGCTGTGGTGGTACGGAATCGAGGTCTTCTGCTTGCTGCTCGGCGTCGTCGGTGCAGACGCAGCGTGACTGAACGAAGACGCGTCCGTGTCGTCAGCAACGCCAGCGCCGACGCTCGTCCCGTACCCAAACCCACCCGCGCCGCCGCCGCCACCGCCACCACTCGGTGCGGCATTCGACGACGAGCTCGCCACCGCAGCGGCCGCATTCCCAGGCGACGGCGGGAAGAACGACGGCGCAGACGCGGACGTGCGTGGCTGAAGATGGTCGACGCTGCCGCCAGAGCTCGTCCGCGGGTGGGCTGCCGACGATGACGATGATGCTGCTGCTGCTGCTGCTGCTGCGGCTGATGATGATGACAACGCCGCTGCAGAGTGGTGGTGGAGGTGGTGCTGGTGCTGGTGCTGGTGGTGATGCTGGTTGTGCATCTCGGCATCATGCTGGGCGCGCTGGTGCTCGTGCTGAATCGCCTGCTCGACGCCCGCATCGCCAGCGCGGATGGCAGAGTAGCTGCTGTACTGCGATGGGACGTAGCCCTGCGGACCGCCCGCCGCAGCCACAGCCACAGCAGCCGACGGCGGCGCCACACTGCTGCCGCCACTGCCGCTGCTCATCTGCATCGCCCCAGCACCCGCTCCGCTGCCGCCACTGTCGTACCCGAACGGCGTTGTTCCTGACAATGACGATGGCGCGCCTGCGGATGTGAAGATGGCCGAGGTGCTGTTAAAGTCCTGCGCGTCCGTCATGCTCTGTGCGTCGGACATTGAATCACGCTGTGTGTGCTGATGATGACGATGCTGGAGCAGACCGCTGCCACTGCTGCCACTGCTGCTGCTGCCACTCCCAGACATTGTGAAAGAAATAAAAAATAGAGACTGAGAGTTCTGACAAGACTGAGAGACTCAGACTGAAATTGAAATTGTGAAATTGAGTGAAAAGTGAGCAAAAGCCTCATTTCAACACGACGCCGAGGTACAGGACAGAGCAATCGCATCGTCACCGTCGCGAGGAGGAAGCAACATTGAAGCAAAATACGCACACACAGAAATCCAACATTAAAAAAACCAACAGCAAAGAAGGCAACAAACAAAGAAAAGAACGAAAAGGGAAACAAGCCAAAAACACGTTCACTCAAGCGAAACGCCCTTCGCTTCGGCCTCGGCCACCGTCAGAATCCGGTCTTGAGGGGTCGGGGCGAGCTTGAGGAACTTGCCGACAAGCTCGAGCCCGCTGTGGTTCTTCTTCAACTGAGGAGGCTCGCCGCTGGCAGGAGGAGCCAGCAGGGGCTGAGCCGCGGGAGTTGGCGAAGGCGTCAGCGGGGCCACCAGCTCTGCAGAGCTTGGATGGTGGATGTGCGCCTTGAAGTGGTTGACAGCGCTGCGAAGCGCACGACGGCTGTTGCCAAAGGCGTTGAGCACCTTGAGCTTGAGGAAAAAGCGGCGGAAGAGCGTCGAAAGGAGGTGGCCCTGCTCCTCCTCGCGAACAATCTCAGCCTTTGCAAGCTCCTCGTAGCCATCCTTGCCCGAGGCCATGTAGGCGCGAGTTGCGATCGTGTACTTGGCGTTCAGATCGACAGGGCGGTCGGTTGCCGGGTCGTCGCCAACGCGTGCAAAAACAATGCGTTGGCCCGACATGGCGCTCGGGTCGTACACAAAGCGCACTCCTGACACTTGCGGGAAACGGCCTTCCATTTTCGGCACCATGCTGATGCCGTTTTCCAAAATCTTCATGAGGGAGGCTCCAGTCACGCGCACGACCATGCAGCAGTCCTCAAACGGCAGAATTTCGAGAATGTTTCCTGCAGTGATGACTCCCGGGCCATAAACATCGTCCGACCGAATGGCACCTGCAAGTGAGGCACAAAGGAAAAGAAAAACACCAACAACCCACCGAAAGCATGAGTACAAAGCGAGGAGGGTAAATTTAAGAGAAGCAGCACCGCAAAAACATACCGCCGCAGAGCAAGCCAATGTCGGCACCATACTCGGAGCGCAAAATATCTGCCAGCAAGCTGCCAATGTTGGACTCTCGCGTGCGGTTGGACTCCATTCGGCAATCGAGCCCGATAGTGGTTTCTCCCACGGGCTTTTGCATTTTGACCGTCACTAAGTTGAGATCAACCAGATCGATAGACAAACACCAACGATGAGCACAAAAAACACCAGCCAAAACCCTGCTCCAGAAAAGAAACCCAATCAAAACCGTACAGTCCTTGCACAAATCGTCAACAATCGCGACCATTGTCGGCTCTGGCTCAAAGCGGGACGTGATCTCGAAACAAGTCACATCGACGCTGATGCGATGTCCTTCAATCGTGGTGGGCTTGTCCACCAGCGAGCCAAAGGCCGTCTCGCTGCGGTCGCGCGTATCTGATGCATACGGGTCTTTGGCCTTGTCTCGCATGCGCATTTTGATTTCGCTGAGGTTTCGGAAGTCTGTCCCGCTCTTCACAACCACCGTGCCGTTCACGAGGTGGACGGCGTCAAAGTGGTCCTGCCAACAACAACGACCACAGACCTTGTTAGGTATGTACCCACAGCCAAATACGCTTCAAAAACAAACAACATACATGGCCGCCAAGCACGAAATCCAATCCGTCCACACGCCGTGCGAGCTCCACGTCGTTCGGCTCGCGCATGTGCGTGAGTGCAATGACAATGTCCGCACCCTCGTCGCGCAGCTTGCGCGTCAATCGCTGACCGACTTCGACGAAATCCGAGTACTCCAGCGTCGGCGGGGCGGAAGGAAGCGTATCAAGCCATTCTCTGTGAAACCACCAAAAAGCATCAAACAACCACAAAGTCAGCCCCCTTTCGGTCGATTCACAGACACCACAACCCTCCTCGAGCTGCTGCAGTTCATGACTGAGCTCTTTTTTATGATGGTTGTACGATGCAAGCGAGGGAACAAACTTGCCGTTCAATCAGCCCCATCAAGCCAATCTTGAATCCGTTGCGAGTGAGCATGACCGTCTCCTTGCCCTGCGCGAGTGCCAGGCCGGTCTTTGAGTCAATGACGTTGGACAGCAGCCACGGGAACGGGCACTGGCCTGCGAGCTTGATGAGCGTCTCTTCGCCAAAGTCGACGTCGTGGTTTCCGTACACTGCGCAGTCAATCGCGAGCGCGTTGAGCACTGGCAGCATGTGCTTGCCCTTGGTCACCGAGGACATGGTCGACGGGTTGAATACGTCCCCAGAGAACAGCACCAGCGCCTTGTCGCTCGGCTGCGCAACCGTCCGCACCGCAGTCACAAACCGCGCAGCGCCGCCGAACGGTTCGTGCGTCCTGAAAACCAGCGTCAGCGTCCGTCAGTCACAAAAGGCCAAAAAGGCAAGCAAGGTCACAGCAAGTTGTAGAAATGCATGATTCGAGGTTGGCGAGGTTAGGAAGGTGAGGTCGGTGAGGTGGAGTCGGATATGAGTCAGAAATGGAAGAAGAGTTCGATGGCGGGTAAAACTCTCAGAAAAGCAGAAAAGCCTCAAACTTGACACCAACTCGCTTGCGGAAAGTCGTGTTCAATGTTTGAGGATGCAAACTCAAACTTTTGTAGGTCGGACTGTTGGTACTTACCGCTCGGCAATGTTGTAAACGTCGTTGAAGTGAGCAATAACGAGATCAGCCATTTTGGCAAAGAGTGGAAAAAAATAAAAAGACTGACAAAACATGCAAGTGTTATGTAGATGGACTATCATAGAAGATGTAAATGAAGCAGCAATGGACGACAGAGACACACAGAGAGACACAGAAAATAAACGCAAACCAATTTTGATCTTGCTGCGTTATTTTCAATCCAGTACAGTACAATTGCATGCGTGCGCAGAACCGCAACAGACAGTACTCTCGATAAAAGCATAATTATAGTACATTGAACAAAAACTGGGGCACATCCCACCTCTTCCAGAATCTCCAAAACAACTCTCAAACAAAAAGAGCAAGCCAGATCTTTGTTTGTTTCGGCATCATCAACTCAAACAATAGAAAGCACCATCGAGCCAAGTTCTAACCAGACGCGGTGCAATGCTCATTGTACACGGCCTGAGTCCGTTGAATTGCCGCTTTGAGGAACTCGCCCGTATCAATACCGAGTGCAGCGGTGGCTTCCATCAAGCCCTGCGAGCGGCTCCGCAATTGCTTCACTCCTTGCTGCATGAGATTGAAGGCCGCAGTGGTGACTTCAGCAGCGTGGCCGTTGTAGGCCGAGGAGTTGATGACAAGCAGCGCCAAATCTTCCAAGAATTCCGCGGGTCGCTGATAATTGTTGCCCTTGGCCTTGGCGCGCATGGTGGTCAGGTCCATCGGATTGTGGACATGCTGCAGGTAATCGGGATACTGATGTACGTCCACCGGACTGCGGAAGTACGTGCTCTACATTGCAACAAAAGAAAAATCAAAAAGCGGGTCAGTCACCCGCGTTCTGCAGCCAGCCCAACTCCACGCAACCCGCACGACTTACAGACTGATGATTCCAAAGATCTTGGCACACTTCCATCAAAACCTTATTGAGCTGGGAAGTGGCAGTGACAGCGCCGCGGCGTTTGCTCGCGACCGACCGAAAGGCATCGTATTCCTCGTCTCGGAAGTCGTTCTGCTCGTCCTCGTCCTCGTCGCTGTTACCAACATTGTCATCGTCATCGTCCTCATCATCATCGTCGTAATCTCCACGGAAGCGAACACGGCGGCTCTTGGGCGACTTGCGAGCAGACGAACCGCCACGACCTCCGCGGCGTCCACCGGAACTGGGTGGGCGTCGACCGCTGGCGGCTGTAGGTGTCGCTGCACCGCTTGCACCAAACTTGATCTTCATCTTGAGACCGTTTTCACCAAAAACGACTTGAGACGCAGATTGGTCTCGCTCGCGCGCCAACTCGCTCTGCGCAAAGCGCCGCGCAATGTCATCCGTGTTCACACCCGTCTGAGCAGCGCGCTTGCGAGCAGCAGCATTGGCCCGACTGCGTTGGAAGGTGAGGTGCTCTGGATGCTCGGGGCAGGCGCGGTTGGACTTGGTGTGCTCGTAGGAGCCGCACATGCCGCATCGATTGGTTCGTCCTGTCGGGACGCGGGAAGCGCCCAGCGAGTTGTTGTCGCCAGACTGGGAAGCGGCAAGTCGTCGCTGAACGTGGCTGAGAAGCTTTCGGCGCCGACCCTCGCTCACTCCCGCCAATTCTTGGTTGCGAACAATCAGGTAGGCTTCAATGACGCGCGGATCAGTCACCACCTCCTGGCGTTCGGCCACGGACCCGTCCGGCATGGCAAACTTGCGCTTGATGACGAGGTGCTTGCCGCGGTACTTTTCACCTGGCTGTTGGTTGGGAACCGAGGCAGCAGAAGCAGGCGGCGCTGCAGAGGAAGAAGAAGACGTCGAAGCGGCTCCGTCCGCACCCGCGGACTCGGTCTGCATGTCGGTTGCTTCCTCCGCCTGCGCATCTCCATCAGCTCCAGTATCCATGTCCGCCTGACCGTCTTGCTCCTCATCGCCGCCAGCCGCGGCCTGCTGTGATCGCTTGAGCAGTTTGTGCAGCTGAAGATACTCTGCAATTTCGTTACTGCGTGCCTCCATCGACCTGAGGGCCGAGGCTTCGGTATGGCTCGAGCGCGCAGCGCTTTCCAGCTCTTTTCCAAAGTCGGCCAAATCATCGAAATCGTCGCCGCCTTCATCGCCATCACCGTCTCCGACCGATTCGGTTTCCGATTCCAGCTCTTCCGAAGACGCTAGAATGCGATTCTGCAAGTCGAACAATCGCTGGCACTCTTGCTTGTACAGCTGCTGGTGCTCTTGCACAGATCGCCGCTCGCCGCGAGCCCACTTGGACAGATCTGTCGCATCGGCGGCCCCTTCGCCTTGACTCGAGGACATTTTGCGAAGAAGCGCAATGACATCCCAACGCGGCATCTTGGACGTTTGCGAGAGAGAAATGCCAAACTTTTGCTGCAGCATGTTGCGCGCCTCGACCAACGGGATTTTGCGCAAGTCGGACTCGGTGCCTTCCACCGTCTTGTGCGGCTCCTTCTTTTGCTTTGGCTTGGCAGCTTCACGCTCGCGATTGTGAACGATGGGCTTGCTGGGGGCTCGGATGTACGAAAAGCCCTCGCCAGCGCCAGTCGGATCGCCGGGCCCAGTGAGCTTGAGATGGCACTTGCCCTGCTGCGCGTCCAAGAAGGTGTGCGTTGTGTTCCACGGCGCAAGCTTGAGCTCGGTCTGGATTCGCTGGTCCTGGTCCTCTTCATCGCCGTCCGGGGTCAGGGACGGTGGCTCGAGGATTAAATCGTCAGCGCCAAAACCGGAATCGCGCAGCATCTGTTGACTGGCCAGCATGCTTTCGTGCGCGCAGGCTTGTTCGGGTGTGACCAGCTGGCGCAGCTCCTCCTCGGGCGGGATGCGCTGGTTGGTGCGGAGCTCCCACTCCTCGCTTTGGTCGCCCAGCCCACTGCGCACGCACTCGCACAGAATCTTGAGACGCTTGCGCAGCATCGCCACGGGAATGCTCGGGAATGCCGCAATCAAATCGCCGAGCTTGACGAATGGCCGGCGAGACTTGTCGTTCTTCTTGATGCTCAGCTTGGACTGCTTGAGCTGGCGGTAGATGAAGGCTTGCACGCGGTTGCGCATAAAGTCACTCGCCTTCTTGGAATTGGGCGCGGGGACTTCGATTTTGGGGAGTGTTTGGCCGAGCACAAAGAGGCCGTCAATCGGACGAATGTAATGGTGGTCCTTGACGCGAATGACGAGGAAATCCGTCGGGGCAATCTCGTGCGGATAGGCAGGTGCCAGGTAGAGGGTGTTGTCCACGTACTGCAACGCCGAGCCCGGCTTGAGTTGACCCAGGAAGGGCGACGAGTCTGCCGCTCCTTGGAAGCGCGTCATGCCGAACGGCAGCTCGGGGGCATTGTCGTCTTGAGGCTCGGTGCGACGGTACAAGTTGTACAAGCGCGATACCATGCCGACGTTCGACACCAACGGCGGAAACTCTTCGCAGTACTCGAGTAGAACAATGTCGCCGTCGCGGCCGGACAGGTCACGCTGGGTTTTCATGAAAAACACATCACCACCCGACTTTTGGCGCTCTTGCAAGCGCTCGTGCTCCTTCTTTTTGATGAAGCGACCGAGGGAAGCGAGCGTGCAAGACCGACCCCCTTCGTTTCCGTCCACTGGCGGCAGGGTCTTGAGCACTGGTCGATGAGCACAGCGCAGAGACGCCTGGGTGAAGGAGGTGTGGAAGAAGATTTCGAGAAGCTTGAGGGCGGGCAGCGAGTGCCGCAGCGGCGTCGTGAATGTGGACGAGCGGAAGAGATCTGCTGTTAGACCGCTCGAAGCACGATACCACTGGTCGCCCGAGAGATTGAATCGATCCGAGCCCTGCATGGCGGCAATCTGCTTGGCGTCCATGGCTGCGGCCTTTTCACGCTGGATGCGCTCCTTTTCGCGCTGCCGAGCCCTCCAAGACATTTTCTTGGTCCTCCGGCGCGTTTCGGCGGCAATCTCCTCGGCAGACTTGACGAATTTGAGCGTTTTGGGTGCCGTTGAGCCGTAGAGCAGGTTGCCATCCGACTTGTCCCAAATGAACGACGTGTTTGGCAGCCGCTTGGGCGCGTCCGTCTCGTCGTAAATGATCTCGTCCTCCCACTCTGGTGCAGCCAGCTCCATGTTGCTGAGTGGAAACATGGAGTAGACGGTCGGCTCCTTGATGTCGATGGTGTCGGCTCCTCCCGCGGACTGCTGGGTGTCGGCAGCGTTGAAGCGCTCGAGATGAGCAACGGCGTGTGCCCTTCGCTGGGATGCTGCACGACCTTTCTGGGTTGTCGGAGTGGCGGCGAGTGCGGCGGCGAGAAAAGCGCGAGCCTGCGCGGTTTCGCCCGTCACGTCCTGCACAATGGGCGCAAGACCTTTTCCTGTCAGCAAATGCTCGTCAGCCTGGCGCTTGGCGTCCAATTTGGCGGCCACATCCTTGGCATGCTGATGGAGTGTGCGCAGAATGGAGTACTTTGGCAGAGGCTCGTACGGGTTGAGAAATCCGGTCACCGACGCCGAGTGGAACTGCCGCAAGTTGGAGACGGGCGTCAAATCGACATAGCCGCCGGAAGGCTTGGAGCGATAGAGCGGCATTGCAGGGTCGGTCGGTTCAAACACGACTTTGGCATCGCTGTACCGATCCGTGTCCGTAATGACGTGCTCTTCCCACACAATTTGCGAGGAAAGGTTGTAGGCTCGCTGGTCTGGCTCTTTGAGAGACTGCAGGGCGGCCTCCACCATGGCAGGGGTTTGTTTGGCGGCGTCTGATTGGTCAGAGTCCAGTTGTTCCGGTACCAGCTGTGGCAGTGGCTGAGGTGGTTGTTGCTGTGATTGCTGCTGCTTTGGCGGTTGAGCTTGCGGGTTGATGGCAACGAGAGGATGACCAATGTCTTCAGCATCGATGGCTTGGGCCTGTAAAAACGCACACACACAAAAGATAGAACAAAAAAATGACGTTAGTTTGGACAATAACACACAAAGAAAGACAGGGGATTCGGGGGCGGCACGCAAGACTGACCATCACCGTGTCGCGAGCATTCCGACCATGCCGAATCATGGTGGGAAGAATGACGGGGCTATTGAAGAGCCGAGCTTCATCGTCCCAGTCTTCCTCCAAGAGAGGACGCTTGCGTGGTGGCAGTTGCTCTGTCATCGTGCTGTCGAGAGGAGCGGGCACCTGTCCGTCAGCACCCGCAGCAGCAGACAAGGCAGCAACCTCCTCGGTCGAGCGCAAGGCGCTGGACAAGTCGTCGTCATCGTCATCGCTGCCGTCGCCAAGCTCTGCTTCCTGTTCGGCCGAGCGGACAAAGGCGCGCGACGGTCGGATTTTGAACTTTTGCGGCGCGAACAAGTCGGAAAAGTGCGGCACGTCCGACTTGGAAAAGCTCGGGAAGAGCGTTGGCAGCATGTCTGGCGTGTAGACTACTCGCGGGCGCTTTGCACCGCGGTGATGCTTGCGTGAATGGCCCACGGCAGCCAGCGCTCGTTCCGTGTCAATCCGCTCTGCACGCTCGGCGCGAGATTCGGGACCTGTTTTCAATGCTTGCAAGATAAATCCGGCGCCGAGTTCCTCGAGCAAATGTGTTGATACTTGTTCGAGTTCTCGTGCAAGCTCCTATTTCAACGTTCAAGATATGTACGAAAACATTCAGAAAAGTGAGAAGGCTTTCGCGTTTTGGTGCTTGTTCATTGCGCGTCGATCTTTCGCGTCAAGATGTCAAAACTCTCGAGCATGACCAAAGAATAGCCGACAACACAATCGAAATCAGCGGCTCAGATTTTCAGCGAGATCTCCAATTTTGTTTGCTGTTTGATTTTTTTTTTTTTTTTTTTTTTTTACCTGATCGTCGTCCCATTCAAGCATGCCAGCTTGGTCGAGGTTGCCAAAGAGCAGCAGCGCGGGCTGCCATTCCGCGGCCGCCTCGTCTGAGCTTCGTTGCTGCTGCTGCTGCTGCTGTTGTTGTTGCTGCTGCTGCTGCTGCTGTTGTTGCTGCTGCTGCGGATCGTCCTGCATTGGGGTGGCGCCGTGCTGGTCTGCTTGCGCTCGCTGCGTGTCGTCGTCGTCTTCGCCAGCATCATCATCGTCGTCGTCGTCGTCGTCGCCGTCGTCCATCGCACTGCCATCGTCGTCCTCGCCGTTGTTGGCGTTGGAGCGATGGCGATCTTGATCCATCGGCCGGCTGGCAGAGTGGTGGTGGTTGTGGAAGTCGTCCTGCTGCTGCTGTTGCTGCTGCTGCTGCTGCTGATGCTGTTGCTGCTGCTGGGACGAGGACGACGACGAGACCATGGTGCCGTTCGAAGGCAGCACAAAGCCAAGCCCGAAAGAGTCCATCTTTGATGTATCAACAATGGGACGTCCCCCTCGAGAGAGAAGCGCGCTTTTTTGGGGAGCAAAGAGTGAAGATGGAAAAAAAAAGGACTGAGCTTTTCTGCGTCGGTCAAGTCAGGTCAGGTCAGTCCAGCGTAACCGATAGTAAAATGAGACGAGTGTGTTTGACTTGTGCCGAAGAAACGAGACCAGGCAAGGCGGAGCAGGACAGGCGAAAAAAAGAAAAGAAAAAAAAAAAGAGGTCAAACTGCCACTTTGCTCATCGTTCTGCAGTCGTCTTTCCTGCTGTGTCCGCTGCATTGTCAGATTCGCAGTGAGACAACAACTCTTTTGTTCGAATCGCGCCAATTGGAGTTTCGACATTGTGTCAGTCTCATTTTTCATCCATTTCTCGGCAGGCTCGCTTTCCTCACTCTTCGCTCGCGCGCTCTCTCTGTGGCCACAACACCTCAAAACCCACACTGGCACAGTTTTACAAGGTCAGTGAGTTTTATCTCACATTTCCAGGCAGGCAGCCTGGAGTCACCCCCGTTCATCCAATTGTCGTTTTTCATGTTGGATGCGGGAAACGTCGAAAACCCGCACACACCCACTCGCACTTTACCAATCGAGGATTTCAAAAGGCTCAGGTTACAGTATGGGCCTGAAGTCCCTTCCTTTCACTGTGTCTGCGCGTTGCAAACCTCGCCCCCCCCCCCTTTTACATCTTTGTCTTGGCCTCGCCGTATACAGTATTCTCGCTTCTGCTGCTTTCCCCTCCACCTGTTCTCTCCCGCAATGCAATAGAATTCCTTCGGGTCGTTTGCTATTCTCCTCCAAGTTGACTCCAACAGCTCGCGTTTCCAAACACAAAAAACAAAAAGCCACAAAAACTGCTGCTTAATTCTTTCGAAATTTCGTTCTGATCCCGCAAAACCCGACTTTTCGTCCTCCTCATCCACACTGACCTCTCGTCCGCCCCGCTCTCTGCTCATTTTCGCGTGTGGGCGTGTCTCTATTCGCGCACTCTTTGATGTTGTAGCGCGGTTTCTGGCCGTCCACCCTTTTTCTGTTCCAACACAAACATTCGCTTCACGTTCGCCAAAAACCGCAACGTCGCACCCGATTTGGTGCACTTGTGGTTTTTTGGTTTGATGAAAAATCAAACAAAAGCGATAACTCGTGTCACAAAGATCTTAATTTTAAGATTCCACAATTAGACTTGGCGCGTTTTGAAAGAGCTGTGATCCACCTTTTTTGTTTGACAGCAAATCTCGCACATGCACATGCACATCCACACACGCACTCTATCGCTCACACTCGCGTCTTCCCCTCGTGTTTCCTGTGGTCTTCGTGTTTCCTGTCCTCAACCTTTGTTTTCTCCCCCTGACGTCTGCAGTCATGCCGAGCCGAATTGACTGCAGTTGTTGTTTTATTTTGTATCGTCTTTGTGTTTGTTTTTGTTTTTGGTTCATTCTTTTATTATTTTTGTCTTTTTTATTTGTTTTCCCACCAAGATTGCGCTCACAAAACCGCATCAACATTCACCACCCCCCTACAGACTTGGAGCCACATACAGCTCAACTGCACGTAAACCCACTGGAGTCCAACCAAGTCTTCTTCTCAAAGTTGTTCCAAACTTGTTCCAGCTCAAAATGCAACCAGCAGCCGTTTTTGTTGCGCTCCTGGCCTGTAGCGGCTTTGTTACTGCTGTAACCGCCGTGGATCCTTCAGCCACAGTCAGTGGTCAAAACAGCCAAGACAGCGACTCCTCAACAACCATTATTATTGCTGCCGCCAACGGAGGCGGCGGCTTTCTCCTGATTCTTCTCGTGGTGGTTGCCATTTGCCGTTGCCGCCGCAAGTCCAAGCCTCAGAAACTTGAACAAGCTCCAAAGGACCCAGCATCCGACATCCAAGTCGAGTAAGGCATTGGATGACCGTTTTTGGATGAATAGAAGCCAACCAAAAGTACAGACAACATTCATTTGTACTGACCGACGTAAACAAACAAACAGATTAAACACTGTCGTGACGTTACCAGCGCCCGCTGATTCGACCGCCGTTGGCATGACCGAGCGACAAACAGCACCAGCTGAGCAAGACATTGAACCAGCAGCTGAGCGAGAAATTGTACCAGCCGTGCGATCAAACACTGGAACTTCGCGTGAGTAGCAACTGTCGCGTTTCCCACAAACCCACGCGTTTCTCACATTCTTCCCCCCCCCCACTGCTCGTGTCGTGTAGGACGAATGCCATGCAAGCTACCGGCAGAAGCCCTCGACGAACCGATAGTGCGTGACAGCGGCTGCGAGTTGTCTAATTCAAGCAGTTTCTCTTCCTTGAATCAGTCCGTACCGGTGTCAGATAGATCTACAGTTTACTCAAAGCCAAGCACCATCATCCCGCGCTCCATGACAACATCTGGTGCTTCACCTTATGCTTCTTCGGGCCCGCGAGCACTCAGCAACAACAACAACAGCAGCAACAACAGCAACAACAACACTGGCACCCTGACTCGCTCAAGCACCAACCCAGAGCCACGCATTTCGGTCAGTGGATATGCCGATCCGTTTTCCTTCAAGCCTAAGAAGAAGACACCCGGGCTGACGTCAGTAACCGAGTCCGGATACGCTGTTCCCGGAGAAGAGCCGACGGTTTATGGCTATGCCAATGATCACCCTCGCAT